GAGTCTCCTGCCTCAGCCTCCCAAGTAGCTGGGACCATAGGTACCTGCCACAACTCCTGGCTATATTTTTGTTGCAGTTGTTGTTGTTTAGCAGGACCGGCCGGGTTCGGTCCCGCCAGCCTTGGGGTATTGTGGCTGGTGTCCTAACCATTGAGCTACGGGTGCCGAGCCAGATGTATTTTTTTTTTTTTTTTTTTTTTTCTTTTTGAGACAGAGTCTCAGGCTGTTCCCCTGGGTAGAGTGCTGTAGTGTTACAACTCATAGCAGCCTCAAACTCTTGGGCTTAAGTGCTTCTCTTGCCTCAGCCTCCTAAGTAGCTGGGACTACAGGTGCCCCGCGCAACACCCAGATATTTTTTTGTTGTCGTTGCAGCTGTCATTGTTGTTTTAACTGGCTCAGGCCAGGTTTGAACCCTCTGGCCTCTGTGTATGTGACTGATGCCCTACCTGTTGAGCCACAGGCCCCACCGAGTTTTTCTTTTTTTTTTGGAGACAGAGCCTCAAGCTGTCCCCCTGGGTAGAGTGCTGTGGCATCACAGTTCACAGCAACCTCCAACTCCTAGACTCAAGCGAGTCTCCTGCCTCTGCCTCCCAAGTAGCTGGGACCACAGGCGCCCGCCACAACGCCTGGTTATTTTTTGGTTGCAGCCATGATTATTGTTTGGCGGGCCTGGGCTGGATTCTAACCTGCCACCTTAGGTGTATGTGACTGGCGCCTTAGCCACAGGCACCGTCCAGTTTTTCTATCTTTTAGTAGAGTTGGGGTTTTACTTTTTCTAAGGTTGGTTTCAAACTCCTCTGAGCTGAAGCAAGCTACTTGTGAGCTCAAGCAGTCCACCCACCTTGGCCTCCCAAGTGCTGGGATTACAGGCTTGAGCCCCTGTACCTAGCTGCTTATACAAAATTTAGAAACCATCAGTATATGTGAAGAAAGAAATAATATACTTCTGCCTGAGTTCAAGGTTCAGAGATTATTTCAGAGTAATGAAGCTTTTCAGATAGTGCATGTTTTATTTTGTTTTGTTTTGTTTCTTTGAGACAGAGCCTCAAGCTATCCCCCTGGGTAGAGTGCTGTGGCATCACAGCTCACAGCAACCCCCAACTCCTGGGCTCAAGCGAATCTCCTGCCTCAGCCTCCCAAGTAGCTGGGACCACAGGTGCTCACCACAATGCCCGACTATTTTTTGGTTGCAGCCATGTTTTGGCAGGCCCAGGCTGGATTTGAACCTGCCACCCTAGGTGTATGTGGCTGGTGCCTTAGCCACTTGAGCCACAGGCGCCGAGTCAGATAGTGTATGTTGATATGATTCCTTTTATATGATTTCCCGAACACTTTCATTGTCCACTTCCTTCACTGCTAGGTACTATGCTGTCCAAGAGGATTGGCTCTGTGTTAGGCTTTTTTGTAGAATTTTTTTTTCCTTTTCTTTTCTTTCTTTTTCTTTTTCTTTTTTTTCTTGAGACAGAGCCTCAAGCTGTCCCCCTGGGTAGAGTGCCGTGGCATTACAGCTCACAGCAACCTCCA